AAAATAAATAGTTGATTGAATTTCAATCTGCTGCCTAAATACCAGTTTGGTTGTATATAAACTGGTGATAATAGCAGTATGTATCTGTGGCTTTGAGATTATGGCACAACTGAATTTATTTGTAGCTCCAAATGTAAATGTTTTCCTTGTAAGACAGATATGGAAGTATCACAGTGATTTTCAGAAGTAATCCTCTCAGATGGATAAGCTTTATGTGCACTTTTAATAACACTAAAGTTCTGTAGAAATGACATCTGTTTATGTTTTGCTATTTATGATACTATTTATGAGTAAAAAGATAAAGTGGTAAGAAAAGCAGTATCTGGTAAGGAAGCAAGATCTCTTTCTGTTTGCTTCTTTTTTTATTACAAATATAAATGTACTTGCAAAAAGAAAAAAAAATTGCTTATAAACTGAATGCTTCTCTGGGACTGAGTCCAAGAGCTTGAACTTCTCCTGTTCCTTTGTGTCCCCACCCTCTTTCTAAAGTTCCTTCTCATAAAGTTTACTCAAATGCCTGGGAGAAGAAAAACATGTCATTATTAAATGTCTGTTCAGTGAGTATAGACTATGTAATGTTTTTGTTTATATAAATTCTTAGTGCCAGTTAAGTTGCTTGAAATAATAAGAATAAAAGCAAGAAGTAATAAATTGTTTAATAGCATGGGTTTTTTTCAGTACAGAGCAATATTCAAAAAAATATTTTGATATGTTTAAAACCAGAAAATAATATATAAAATATCACATTTTTGCATTGCTACTAAGCTTCAGGAGAAATATTGATTTCAGTATCATTTTTCTTGAAGTTTATGACAGAAAAATGCATCAATAAAAAAAACCCATCTCAGAGATGGGTAATTATTAATAGATAGGATTTAAATTTTTTTCATAAAGTTGCCTATTTTAACAAGGGTATAGTAGTGGTATTATCCTGTGTAAAGCTTTTCATTCCTTAAGATCTTGAGATGGAGATCTTGGATATTCCTGTGAACAATGAATCTGCATTTTTGGATAATGGTGCAGTTTGAAGAGACTTTTCAGGTCTTAGGTCAACAAATACTGATTTGGAATAAGAAAGAAATGTACTCTAAGAAATAATTTTATGATTACCTGTTATATGGTTTATTTTTTCCTTCTATGATTTATTTAGAACATGACAGGGAGTGATAGGCTACTGTACTATTTAGAGCAGTGCTATAGTCCATCTCTGTGTTCTCCTTTTTTGCTGAACATGAAACTAAAATAATAAGCAAGTCAGCATTCAAAGAGCATTATCCTTAACAGTTATCAGTTCAAACGCCAGAAGATTCAGAATTATAATTGATTCATTAAACTTTGGATATCTGGAGGATTTCTAGTCCATTCTCCTCTTTGGAGCAGGACTGTCATCATAAGATCAGACATACCTTTTCCTAAGCAGGTCTTGAAACTGTCCAGAGGTGCAGATGGCACCACTCTGGATAACCTGTTTTAGGGCTGCAGTGCAGCATGTGATGCTGCTTGCTCTTAACCTTCATCATGACCACATGGATATGTTTTTTTTTCCTGACAGCCCCAGTCTTTTTTGTTGCCTGGTATAGATGTGGTTTGCATTGTTCAAAATCATGGGGTGAAGAAGTTATATCTATAAGATCTTTGCTTACTTTGCCACATAATTAACAAAGCTCTTTTTAAAAGTTTCTTTAATAAGAGTCTCCCTGTCTCTACGAGGACTTTTTTCCTCTGGTCAAGACAAAACAAAGATTACCAAGTAGCCATTTACCATGTTCCTTAGTTTTTGAATGATGAATGTTGACACATTAGAGCTCTGATTTTTTTGATCTACTGAAATGAATAGTGACCATGCTTGAAAAATATTCTGTGTTTAAAAATGTTTAATACTCTGAACAAAGAAAATCTTGAGGAATCTCAAATCAGATGCCTAATCATTTTTGCATTTTCAGCATTATATCCATGTGCCCTATCTCCCATTTTTCAAATTAGCATAATAGCACATTACAATCTCACCTTAGAAGGGTACATGAGTTCATATTTGTGAACTTCTTAGATAGAGAACATCATAAAAATTTGATAAGCTGTTAAAAAACTTGATATTCAAAGAAGAATTTAGATGCTGTGCAGTAAATAGGTAATAAGACCACTCTTATTGAACAAAGAGAATACAAATCCCTGGAGATAATTAAAAGGTGTGAAGATGTGACACTTAGGGACTTGGATTGGTTGTGGTGGTGGTGGACTCAGCAGTGCTGGTTTAACAGTTGGACTTGATGATCTTAGAGGCCTTTTCCAAACTGAACACTTCTATGATACTATGAAAATGTTGAGGAGCTTCTTCATTAGGCAAACTTCATTCTCAACATTAAGTGAAATAGGGTATTTTTGAAAACTAATAGTGATCTTTTAAAAACTGAAATAGAGTCCTTGCTAACACCTAAGACTGATTGGTTCACAAGCAACCTTTGTTTTAATTTTTCCTGACTTCCTTAAGGTATTTTTGTGGGTATTTTAAAGATGAAAGTTATACCTAAAGTACAATATATATACTTATGTGTACACAGTACAGTAAGGGTTGTGAAAGATCAAGCTGAAAAAGGCTCATAGAATATATTTGGAATCTTTGCTACCACATCAACTATCAAAACAGGAGAATTAATGTTTTGATATGTTGTCACTGCATCACTGCTGGCAAGTAAGAGACACAGACACACTTTCTAGTGGTCAGTACATATATTTACTGGCCACAGGGGAATGGGAGTTCTCAGTAAGAACTTGTTTACAGTAGTCAATTGAGCAAAATCACAGCATGAAATGCCACGGGTTCTTGGCAGTCTGTACTCTTAAACTGTTTGTGTTTTGCCAGCCTTTGGCCAATACTGAATAGATCCACCTAGACAGTGCCCAGGCACTGTGAAAGTTTTGGCTGAGACCAGTGACTATTCCCAGTGATTATTTGGATGGACCAGCTATGTCTTGAGAATGAGGAGAGTTTAAGTTAAAGGACATGAGCCTAGTAATTCCTTCAGATCCTCATAGCTGTTGGCCAGTACTATTTAGTAACATAGATGTACCAAAGCTAGTAGTGAAATTCTTGCAATCCAGGTTCTGTAAGCTTTTCTTTTTCCTAATTTATTCCATCCTGGTTGGCTTTGTCCTGACAAAAATATTTCTCTCTTCAATGAGTTCAATACACAGCTGTAAGATACCTGCTGGAACATCAAAATAGGATTCAGTTCATGACAGATATATAAATGTAGGTATCTGGACACAAATGGAATGCTGTCTCCCCTCAGTCACTGGCAGTGTAGTTAGCCCAGTTAACAGAGTACAGAGAGTGATAGGTTCCATTCATTTTATTAATCTGACCTCTATGGTAGGAGCTAATGTGCTTCTTACCCATATAGAAAAATGAGGTGACTTAATCTGGAGCAGAATCTCAGCTACTGAGTTTTTCATGTAAAGGAATAACAACAAAACCAGTCATTATTTGCATAATTTATTCCTCATTTTGAATTCACCTTCAACATTGCAGGCATATGTATAAATCAGCAACTTTCAGAAATCAAAGAGAGAATGCCCCATGTCCTCCTTTTCCCCTGAATTTTTCCCTTAAACCAATTTTTTCTGGGTTTATTGATCACTTAAGCTCTGACATGTCCTACGTTTAACCTTTCTCCATAACACCTCACATCTTTTTGGCTGCAAAATGTCTCAAGTGTATATTCTAGTTGGTTGTTTCTCAAAGAAGAAAAGTATATTTTCTTAGGTTCTTTGAATTTTATAATATATAGAAAAGCATTTAATTTTATATTTTTAAGCTGCTGACTAGTAAAAGAGTTGATGAAGTTTTGAAGTAGACACCAACATCTTTCTTCTGTCATTCATAAAGTCAAGCACTGCTTTCTTTTAGAAAGGATATTTTGAGACTTGATTGGGAGGGTTTTTTTTGCCACCAGATATTTTAGTTAATTGGAGAAAAGTGCTCAATATCTTTGCACATTATGGCATGATGCTATATTCAATTCATTGTGGTAGCTACTGCTGTGCTCACAGTCCTACACTTGGAGTTTATCTAGAGCATACAACTTCTAGAAGGAATGAAATTAATTTATTTATCTTTAATGAAGTGGTTATAGAGATGTGACCATTAGTAGGGACACAGTTATTCTGACTAGAACATGCTGACTTAATGCCATGTTGATAGAGTGATATTAACCACACCAATACTTTGGATGAGGCAGTGCAGGACCCCTTTTTTTTCCCTCTTCCTAGGTCTTTCAGCAACGAGTGTAAAAAAGAGCCATAGAATTTTAATAATTCACTCTAAACCTTGCCAAAGAAATGCATTTTTATGTGATTGCTTTTTGTGTTTATGTATATGCTAAGTTACATATAAAGTGTGCTTGAAATGACTTAATTTGTGTTCTTTTTTCCCAATGGTTGCTATTACTATTCTCAAAAGTTCCCAAAAATAAAAACACTAAAATCTATTCCTTAGAGACTGTCAGTAAAAAGGCATCATAGTGTAAATTCACTATTATTATAATGGTTATAAAAAGAAAAATTACTAAGAATATTCGTAACAATAATGGTTCTTCATGTATTTTACCACCTACAAACTACCTACCTAATTCATCATACTAAACTATATAATTTGTGCACATTTCAACTCAATAGCAGATTAAAAGAGATATCATCAAGTTGATGGAATAGCAGTGGCCTATTTTATCTTATAAATTTGTTTTTTCATGGAATTTATATATAGCACTGAGCATTGTTGGTTGTTCTACCAGCAGATATTTTAGTTAGGATAAAATAGTCTTTAAATATTTAAGATTTTTTTTAAGAGAATAATAAATCAGTTCATGGCATAGTTGTCTTTTGTTTCTTTACACAAGAATGTACCAAGCAGCATTAAAAAGTCATTTTGAGGGGAGTAAGGATTTTTTTGTTTGCAGCATTTTATCACCCTTTTATGTTTACAAGGTGTTCTCTCATTTCAGAGCAACATAGCCAGGGTGAAGCATCCACTGAAAGTGAGCTTCCTGAAGAACACCCTGCTGAGCAGTTTGCAGGTTTACTTCATGGATCATCACCTGCATGTGACCCACCTGAAAATCCACTCCAGCTGTACAGCAAAGTAAACCTGTGCAGTGGGCCACTGGAGAAAAGCATTTTGAGCAAGAGTGCAGCGCAGCAGATAAAGCTACGGAAAGAGAGCAGCTCTGATCCTCCTGTTAAGAAAAAAAAACCACCAATTGTAAACAGAACCATATTTCATACTAAGAATAAACCAGCAGAAAATCATACCCTGGTTGGTGCGCCAAGGATCAGTGAACAATGGGTTATTACCACTGGGGGATTTGTGGAGCGAGCGTGCACACTGGGCAGAATACGATCTTTACCAAAGACCTTGCTGGAAATGCATTTGTGCAAAAATGTTTCAAAATCTGATTCTAATCTTATCACTCATCCACCAAATGATAAAAAAGCGAGAAGCAATTGGAGTGAACCCACACCAAAGCCACAGTGCTCCAAAGGGAATTCGGAGAGAACACCTTCCTTCACCTCAGAGTGGGAAGAAGTAAGTTTTTTTTCATTTTTTAAGTACTGTGGTCTTGTGAAGACACTGTTATTGTTTTCAGTTTCAGAGACAAAAAGTGAATATTCCACACTGCAAACCTCAGAGCAAATGTCACAGTGTATTGCATGGGAGTTCAACAGCTGGCACAAAATGCAAAGCATTTCTGTTCACACGCTGCCCACTTAATAAAGTCTATTGTTTCCTTAGTGAATAAAGTTAACCAGAAGTAATTCTGCAATTTTTTGTGGCAATGAAATTATTGTCTACTAAAGCCCTCACCACTTACAATAATAATGTTGGTAAAATCCTTAGTAACTCTGCCTATTGTTTGCAATTTGCTGATTATTTCCACCATGGCAGTGTCCCGTCAGCAAGATCCAGGAGAAAATGGCAGCAAAAGAGAATTGATTGTGCATTCTACAAACCCTCCTTATGTATCGTATCCTCTAAATGCTCTGTAGCCTGTGTACAAAATGCTTGGCACATACCTGGCTGCTGTGTGAAGTGGGAATACCCTTATAGCTGAAATGAATTCAGGACTACTAACAGAAATTTCCACACTGAATTTGTAGTGCACATGCTTGCTCATATGAAAGACTTTATTTTAGGTTTAGAATTCAATTTAAATTAATTTTTAGACACCTTATGTTTAACTTTTCTTTCCTGTACTGAATTTCAAGAATGTAAATGGTTCTTCATAGACACAGAATTGCCCATCTCATTGAGGTAAATTAAGAGTGTGAAATGTTTAGATCTTTACTGCTTCTACAGAGAAGGGAGCATTTCTCTTTAAAACTACCTGAGTGGGGAAATTCATCTATCTCTAGGGTGCTATTATGTTCAGAAAGAACCCCGAGTTTGATTATGCGGTTGGTTTTTTTCTCTAGGAAAATGTTTCAAGCTATCCTAAATGTCTGATTTGATAGGGCATTTTAAGGCACTTTTGTGAGAGAAATACTCTGTCAGAGAAGATGTACTAGGGATATCAGGTTTTGATCTTTACAACTGGGATATGTTATTATAAAATCCTGATTAGAATCAGGTCCAGGTTTGCCTTTCTACATGGTCATCAAGGTTTGATCTTAAAAGTAAAAAAAGTGCCATAATGTATGTATGCATTTATGTATAAAGTATGAATGCTCAATCTGAAGATTCTGTCATAATTTCCAGAATCTTCTGTCACCAGTGACTAATACATACTTTTCCTACTAGCCCTAATATTAAGCTTAGTAAAGTGTGTTTCTCTTTGTCTACCTTCTTAGTCCACAGCAACCTTTTGATTCACTTTTTGGTTTGTCCTGTTCTTACAGAAAATAAAATAGATAGAGTGTTTTTGACCTATTAAGTTCAATGTGTTTTAGAAACATGTGAGCAAGTTTTGGGATTAGTGCAGTATTGTTTTGCAGAGAATGTTGTTCGTGGTATGTGGGGACACAAATATGTTTCATACCTATTTAGTGCCCTTGGGGCAGATGGAAAGAAAAGGGGGCTAAGAAATTCTCTGGAAATAAAAATTGAACAATTGATCTAATTGTGTGTATTTTAAATACTTTGGAACATACAAGATAATTTTTTTATTCATTAATATTACTGCTTAAATAAACTACTAGTGGTCATACCTAGATGAGCAGAGTCATCAGTATGTAAGGAATTCTACCATGAAAAAAGAAATACTAGTTCCAAGCCTTAGTTTTTGCTGACATACAAAATTGCAAATCAAATTGCAATATCCAAATCGAAGATAAATTAATTGTCTACTTTTGGTTTATGCACTTTTACAACTTTGATTGTTTTTTTCCTAATGAGGGTAATAATGCCATAAATCTATGCATGAAAAACTAAAATAAAATACTAAAGATTGGATCTTTCAATTGTTTCACTGTTCTCTCTTTTGTAGATTGATAAAATCATGAGTTCAATAGATGCTGGAATTAATACTGGACTGGGGGAGATGAAAAATCACACTACAAGTAAGGAAAACCAACTATTGTTTAATTTTGATGTAATTGTCCATAGGGAAACTGTGGATATAACATTGCTAAGTAACCCACTGTGTTGAAATAATTTGTAGATATTTGAATTACCATGAACAGAATCTATGTTGTTTACTGTTAGAGATGCATTAGGCCCAGTGTCCTGGAGCTGTTGCTTTAAATAGCATATTGGAGTCATTAATGTTGTTTTGAAATCTTACCAGAAAAAATATTCCATTAATGTTTTTGTATTGAAGCCTTTCTTCTAGGGTGGTATTTTACAATCTTTTTCAGATGAGGTTTTGTTTGGAATGATGGAACTCTGAGCATATATAATAGATTTACTGCTGACACTTTTTAAAGTATTTTATTATATAATGCTGCTTCGAAGAAATATTTGGCACAGGGCTGAAAATGTTGCTGACAGACAGTGACTGGTGTTAGCAATGATGGAAAAATTTGAAAACCTCTGCTACTAAGTCATGCTTAGCCTGTTGGTCTGTCAGCATAAACCTGTGCAACTGTGCTGATAAAAATTTTTAAAGCATTTTATTATGTCTTCTCCCCAACTCATGGAGGGAAAACTGACTTGCATGTCCGAATAATTTAGTCCTGAGGCAAAGCTGTGTTACTCAGCTGTACTGGTACATCCCTGCTAAAAATTACATTGAGTATATATATAGGGCAGGGTGTTATGTACCTTATCGCTTAAAATTTGGAAAAGGATATATTTGAACAACTGTCCATTTCATGGAGCATTACATCTATACAGAATGAAACTGTGTCTTATCAATTAAATATAATTGACACAGTTATTTTAACAGTAGCTTGCAGTGAAAAGGGAATCTAGGATAAAGAGAAAATAACTGATTTGAATGCAAATATAATTGCAGATAAAACAAGCAGACTCAGCTTATTTTTTTTCTAAGAAGAGTAAGGGGCAATATCATGAGAAGTGCTAGGCATGTTGTTCTGGCAGTCTGTTCTTTCTGCAACTTGCAGTGTTGGAAAAAACTGTTCACAAACTCCACATTAGGAGATAGTGAATAATTTCTGAAGATATTATAAATAATTCAGGATTTTCTGTGTCTTGTATTTAATCATGGTAGTTGTTCTGGGTCTGCTGGAGGTGGAGTTATCTTTCCCATAGCAGCCTTCACAGTTCTTTGCAGGAGTAGCTAGAAAGGTGTTCACCTGTCAAACTCTGGTGCTCGTCAGCACCAAGGCTGCCTCTCCAACAGAACCCCCTTGCCAGTGGGGAGAGGGAGGGCAAGACCTTGGGAGGGGACGTACCCAGGACAGCTGGCTCAGCAATAAAAGCTCAGAAAAAGGAGTGGGGGGCTGGATATCACCAGCAATAGGAAGTAGGGAATAAATATTTTGTTTTCCTTTGGTTTTGCATAGACCTTTTTTTTTTGCTGTATTAAACTGCCTTTATCTTGACCCAAGGGGATTTTTTTTCTGTCCTATTCTGTCCTGTGCCCTGTCTTGCTCAGGGCAGTGATGGGCACCTGGCATGCAGCCGGGGTCAGCTTCCCACAGCAGCACACAGGCACCAAAGGCAAAATCAGGTGTAGGGTAAGAAATTACAGAGCAAGTAAAAGCCATGAAATGGAGACAATAGCAATAACAGTATATGTTTTAAAATTTCCAGTGATGTGTAAATACTACTTTCTTTGTCCCCATGATTGACCACTGCTTTTCATTTTCTACATTTTTAAGATAAGAAAATACCTCACAACTCTTGTCATCAGCTATTTTGCGCTTCTACTGCATACCTTATTTTTCTTGACATGGAAATACAGCATATATGGCATTTAGTGTTTCAGCCCTTGCAGATAGCAGATCTACTCTTTGCTTCTTTTCCCAGAGTGGGCATTGAGTCCTTAATTTCTATTCAGCGTGCAGCTTTTGGAACACCAACATTTTTTTTCTTTTCTGTCAACTCCTTAATTTTCTTTAGCTAGTTTAGGATAACTTGATTTTGCTCTTAATTAAGACATCAAGCTATGATCAATCCAAATACAGTTATCTTTCCTTAAATTTTATCAGTTTTGCTTTATATGCAGCTTGCAATAAAGATATGTTTTTCTACTATAGACCTGAATATATGCAGCTTCAGATGTGCATCTTCCACTTTTCATTCCTTTTGGACATTTCCAGATTCAATCAAACACAATTTAGGCATCAAAGCAAAGGGAACTATTATTGAATCAAATGCATTGCATGCATCAAACATGTTATACTTCAAGTATATTATTTTTTATTGTCTAAGTAATAACCAAGTAATAGGTTATCTAGGAGGAAATAAGGAATTCTTACTTCTCACTGCTAGCAGGCTTCTCCTTAAACATAGCACAACCAAAGGTAAAGATCTGTCCCATGCTTAGGAATAACAATTAAGTAGTATGGTATCAGATAATATAATTTTGATATACTTCATCAATTTATGTATAATGATGATGGATTTTAGCTTTCACTTGAATATATGTGGAAAAAGCTTATCCAGTAAAGCTTAAAAATAATATTTTTGATGTTCTGAGTGTGTAAGTCAAAGAAACTTCTACTGTTGAACTGCAAGCATCTAGACTATTGAGCACTATATTATGGCAACTTCACTTGACTAATAACTTTCTAGCAAGTAGCAGAATTCCTGGTAACACTGAAGAGTAAATGTAGCTTCCTGTGGGATCCTTCACTTTAGTGTTTTCTTAGTCCTGTACTTCATATTATACTTCAGTGTTTTCATGAACTGCTAATAAAAACAAAAATATGTAAAATTCAAGCACAAATACTCTATCTGTCATGAACATAAAGAGTTTTTTGTAGTATGTAGTATCTCTTTCTCAGTGAAAAATATTTGAGTGGAAATATGTCATATGCTCATAATTAAATAGCTATATTTAAAATTAGACAATGATGACATCTTGTGATGAAATTCTTGAATGAACTTGCCAGAACTTTGGCCTATATTTTTCTACTGGTGGTGTCTGGAAAGACTTCTCTTAAATCTCCAGAGAAAAGTCTTAAGAAGCAATTAGAGGAGCAGTAAAAGGAGATATTCAAAAAAAGGAATTGTAGTGTAACATCTGAATAGATTATTATTGAGAGGGTTATAACTTTGGTTGCATCCAGCAGCATCTGCAAGACTTTTGAATAGTTGCCAGAATAAGAAAGAATAACAGTTGGGATATAACTGACCTTAGCTTGAGTCAGAATGGAATACATCACTGGTTCATACCCCTTTGAGTCTATTTTGTAATGATTCTTTGACTACCATGATAATATGATTTAGAAGGAGACTATTTACAAAGTAAATTAAAAAGAAGAAACACTAAAATTTCATATTTTCTTTGCCTAATTATAAACAATTTTTTTTCCAACAAGTCTTTCAAGACATACACAGCAGTAAATCTGTGTTAGTTTCAGCTTAGTAGCTGTTGGCAGGTGTGTGAGTCAGGGTTTACTTTTATTTGCAAATCACTTGGAATGGAATAATCAAAAAATAATCTGCTTCAAAAAAAACCCCAAACTAAAATGGGTAATGGATATCATATCATCATCGTGATTAAAGCTAGAATTGTGTCAAATCAGAGCAGTTAAAATAATGGGTAAGAAAATAATTGTTGAAAGTCATTCCACATCAAAATAGTCAACAATCATTTTAGTTTTTTTGAGAGAGTCACTTCTGTCAAATATGTTCTAGCACATGGAGGGTGATTTACAGTTTTATAATTCTACTGATCATAAATTCTATTTTGGATGCTGTCCATAAATGCACTAAACAGTTGCTGTGTGTATACAAGTCAGGATATTTTTGGTCACCTGCATTAAGCACATCTGAGCCATTAATGCTGAGTTAGATAAGCACGCACCTTTTTGTTATTGGTCATCATGTCTAGATGTCTGAAGCATTCAAAATGGCACTGGTGCCTTTGAGGAGAATGTACCTATCCTTGAGTGCTCTCATTGTTCCACCTAGAGGCAGAAAGGGTAGAGTTTACTGAATTATCTTAATTTTCTTGATCTAAAATTTTAGTTTGAAATATACTGTCAAGCCTTTTTCTCACAGCTGAAATAAACAAAATTCTTATTTCATTTAGGAATATTGTGTTTTAAAGGGTTTTGTGTTGCTCTTTGTGAGAGCAATGCCTTTTCCTGTGCTTGGAGATAATCCTAGCACCACTTGCAGTATCTATGCCTTAATATCAATATCAAAGCTACAAACCTTCCTCAATGATGCAGCCTGAGTTCTTGCCTTTCAAAGATTAATGCTGCTTTTTACTGGAAGAGGTATATGAACCAGAATCACACCACATAAAAAAATAGACTTTCAAGGAAGCTAGCAAATCTTGCAGAATATTTACTTCAGCAGTATGTATCCTCCTGTGTACAGCTTCAGAGAGACTCATGAGTTGGATCTTTTAGGGCTGCTTTGAAACCAGAAGGACTCTGGAAGACTGAAGGCTATGCTTGAGTTGACTGCACTAGCTGTATCTCATTTGAAAGCAGGACTCCACTGCACTGTACTGTATTCAGAATAAACCTACAATTCCACTTTATATCATGTTTTTTGTACAAACAAGACCTTATTGGTTCTTGATGTGCCCACTGTATGTTTGTGTTTCAATGTCATGTACTCCAAACTTAATGCCAGGGACTAACAGTAGGTCACAGAGCAGTGAATTAGAATACATTTTGTAGTGTTCTTTCTCAAATCTTCCAGTTCAGGATAAAAGTTGTAGACAGCCATCATACATAAGTAAATTTTTTTTTTGTTTGTTTACCTTCTCTACTAATACAAAAAAAGGCTATTACTGATGATTTCTCCTTTGCAGTATTGGGAAAATTTTAAGGAATTTTACTTTCCAGATTTCTGAAGGAAATTACTTTGAGCATAAAGATGGGGAAAATAAAGTAGATGTAACTTCACCTGCTTAGGAAAAAATGGAATCAGGTGGGGCCACATTCAGAAAAGCTGACTGGGAAGAACAAGG